CAAGCTGGGCGAGGACTAAAATTTTTACTTCCTTCCCTTTTGGGACTTTCTGGTAACTGAATTCTCCTCCTCATGCCCTCGGAATGCAGCTCGAGTGTTGTCTTTGGCTCTCCTCAAGGCTGCTGCTTAAGCACTTGTGGAGAGAGGACTTTGTATTTTTATAGAACAGATCTTATTTTCACTCTGTGAATATTCCAAAATCCTGTCATATTTTCCTTTCTGACATCTCTAAGACTCATCTTTTCCCACTGGTCTCCAATAACTAACATCCTTTCCCATATTTTGACCTTCTTTTTCTTCTACTCCTAATAAATACCTCCATTGTGGTCTCTATTCCTGAGTGCTGTCTGTTAAAGTAATCTCTTTGGTGCTTTCCTTACACCATGTTTTTAAAATGCCGTCATTGCTTTCTCTCATTTATGTTAAATCTGCACTTCAGGGACTTTCACTGTTTTTTATTCCCTGATTATTTTTTCCCTGCTGGTTTTCCCTATTTTATCCTAATTTCTTAATACCTGACCTCCTTATATGCATTCTTTTTATTTCCCTCCCTCACTTTTGTTTTCCTAGGCAGTTTTAAAGCTGTCTCCTCCCGGCCAAGAACATTTTCTTTCCTTTTTGAATGCCAAATCCAGCCTCAAACAAGTTGTATCCTGAAACCCCTCTCTATTTCTGTCATAGCTCTCTCCTTCACAGTTGCTAATGTCTCCCTCTTCATGATGATAGTTTATTTTAATTGAGTGATGCTGTCGCTATGCAACAGAGCGAATGTGTATGCCCTTTGGTATAAACAGATCTTACCATTTTGTAGGGAAGATCCTTGCTAGTAGTTGACTTAGGTTCATTCTCTTGCCTCCATTGCTGCTACCTTGGTTTGCAGGTGACAGTTTCAGACACTTCCTGCTTGATCTCACTACCTTCACCTCATCCTCAGAGATGGCTTTCTGATCTGGTCCCTTTCCCTTCTTAAACAAAGCAAACCAACAAAGCTTCTGGCTTTCCCTAGCCTGTAGAAGAAAGTTGACCTTCCTTAGGTGTGTATCAAGTACCCTGGCCCTCCTCACTGTTTTAGACTCACCCTGTCACTTTTCACCACAAATCCTAAATCCCAGTCACACCGAACTGCTTGAGGAGGCAATGTACTATGTGCAGAGTTCGAGAGTGGACTGCTATAGGCCAAATCTAGTCTGTACAACTCTGCCATCTTTTAGAAACTGAAAGATTTCACATACAAATGTTTGTCTGGCTTCATCGTAGAAAATATGGCAATGCTGCACCACATACCCACCTGGTGGGGGAGAGCTGGCATGGAATAGAGGCTGCCCCTTTAGCTGAAGTGGGTTTTCTCTCCAATCTGCCAGTTTCTCTGTTTTGTACCCCCAACATTGGGGCAAAGTATCATTTGCCATTTATCATTGCTCTTGTGCTTTTAAAAAATCTTCTGGTATTAAGAGAAAATTGTACCATGTCTTTATAGATAAGTAAAAAATGGGCAAATACTATTTTACATCTCAAGAAATGTATGAGGCCCACTTTACACTTTCATTATCCTATTCCTTGTAGGTATCTGAGTTTGGACCTCTGACTAAGTGGCTTAGTACTGAGGGTCTGTGTTCAAATTCTGGCTCCATTGCTTACTAGCCATGTGGCTTTGACCAAGTTACTTAAACATTTTCTGCCTCAGTTTCCACATCTATAAATTGAGGATGACAATAGTATATACCTCATAGAGTTTTTGTGAAGACTATATGAGATGTAGAGAATTTAGCAGAAGGATTGGAACATGAAAAGTACTCAATAAATCTTAACTACATTATTATCACTATTATTATTAGTATTCTATTTTCCCCAAATCTAAGGTGGGAATGTCAGGTCTATGAGGGACATGGTTTTGGGCAGAGGGTCATTTGGTGCCTGTTTAATCACATCTTCCCAGCTATCACTTTTTCCACTTAATAGCTGTGATCCTGGTCAAGTTATTTAACCTCTCAATAGCAGTATCATAGTAATACCATTCACATCTTTGGGGATGACCACTGAGTACATGTGACATGTACTGAGACAACCATATACTTTGTGTAATGGGTGTCGGCTACATAATAAGTACACAGTAAATGGTGGCTCATATTGTCGTCAGCTGCTCTCTTTCTTGCTCAGGGTACATCACCTGAGAGTTGTGGGGATCTGGGGAGCCACGTGGCCCACCTGCATGTGTTATGTGGTGCCCACACTTCTACAAGAGCTTTTCAAAAATTAAAACATAATTTACATACCATAAGATTCACTCTCTTAAGTGTACAATCCAGTGGTTTTTAGTATAGTCACAAAATTGCACAATCATTGCCACTAATTCCAGAATGTCTCCATTATTTCCAGAAATAAACCTTATACCCATTAGCAGTTGTCCCCCGTTCCACATTTGCCCCAGCCCTAGGAAACCACTACTCTACTTTCAATCTCTATGGATTTCCCTATTCTAGACATTTTCATAAAAATGAAGTCATACATACAATGAATGATTGCACATGGGCTTTTGCCTATGTGTTTTCCTTAAAAATAAAGCAACATCTTTTTTCAGAAAATACATCGTACTGGGAATGTGAATGAGGCCTAAATAAGAAGTGTTGAATAGGAAGGTAGCACAGGCTAAGACTATGCTAAGGTCACAGAAATAAAACCAAACAGACATGGAGTCTAGGGGTCAATTTGAGTAGGTTAAGAATGTTGAGGAGCTGCAAACTGTTAGTATAAAGAAGTAACCAAGCTAGGTTTCCTTGGATTCTTTACAATCTGGCCTACAATACCCCATAAGGATCTCAAATGCCCATCTGTGGACTGGCTGCATAGGATTCTTCTGGAAACTGATTAAAAATATAGGTTCTGGACTCTTTCTCAGGCTCACTGAATCAGAATCCCCAGGGTGGGAGTTTAGGAAGCACCACAGATGGTTCTGCCAGGCATTGGATTTGGAAATCACTGAGACACTGATTTGTGTTGTTGTGTTCCATCCTCAACAACATTGCTCTGTAATGTTGATATTCTTTTTAAGTTCACATGTCTGATGTTCTTAATAGATTATTTACAACTAGGGCTTAGTTTTCTTTGCCCATCTCAGTGTGCCCCACACACGGTCTTACACAAAGTAGGGGCTCAGCATATGTGAGAAGATTGGTTATACAGGAACCTTGAGGGGATCGCTGGGATATTGCTGGCCACAACGTCATTAAGGTCAGCAGGTCTAATCGATCTTTCCTGCCATTCTAAGCATTCTTTGAGATTTCAAGGCTGGCATTTGTCTTTAGGGTTCTGACTTGTGACCCAGTGGTCTGGAGCCCTTTGATATTTGGGCTTCAGAGGATGTCCCCAGAGTAGCCCTTCAGGGGGACCTTCCAGCCCTCTGCATGGTGTTGATAGTAGAGGGATTACCAAATGTATGAGTGGTTCCTACGCCTGGAATATCAGAGTCCCTCAGGGAGCTTATTAACGTGGAGATTCCTGTGCCTCTCCTCAGACCCACTGAACCGGATTGTTGTCCAGGAAGGGGATGTTACTACCCAGATACTACTAAAATACAGTTCTAGAGTTTGAGGAATATGACTTTCCTGCCTGTGTCGGGAGCAAAACAATGTGTTCTGTTTATGGGGATTTACTTGGGCAGGGCTATAGACTGGAATTTGGGAGACCTGGGCTCAGTCCTGGCTCTACCTTTTAGTCCTTGAGTGACACTGGGTAAGCCATTTGCCTTTCAGTTTGCTTCCTTGTAAAGTGAGAGATTTGGACTAAGGGAGACATCAGGAATGTAGACATGATCATTGATCTATAGGAAGCTTCTTTATAGGCCCAGACATCAGTTCTAATGGATTCACCTCTTCTGTGTACCCCGAGAATAGAAATGCTTTCTCAGACTGGGGTTAGCAGGTGTTCAGTATAATTGGAGGCAAAGTTGCTAAAGCCCACTGTCTGGAGGTTTGGGGGTTAGTGTGGAATGGTGGTGAGATTAAACAAGAAGCACGTGAAGCCCCTTTCTTTTACTTCTTCACTGTCCCCCCCTTTCTCTGTTCTTCCCCATATTCCAGTTTTTAAGAGTTTCTGCATACAAGCTCCATTTATAAGTCACAGCTACCTCATGGAAGTGTTCAAGTCACCAGTTGCTAATACTGTAGTATAAAATGCTCAAATCTAGTGACTGGAAGACTTTTTGCTTAAGCTCTATCTGTCATATTTAAGAAGTTAGAGTGGGTGGGTAATAGCACATGGATGCTGGGTTCCTGGAGCCTGAGGAATGGGACAGATGAGCACAGCAAGAAGGGGATGGCAACCAAAGAGTCATTGATTTGGCAATTTTGACCAGTACCCTGGCAGTGGTGCTATAATACATTGCTTTTGGTGTTTTTGGCAGAGATGACCTAAAATACTGATGCTTCATCTAAATCATCATTGGGTGAGTTCTTATATCATTCTGTCTCATTTTGTTAAAGACTCTGGGATTCAATCATATTGATTGCTCAGGAACTGGATATGGCTTATGTTACTATTCTTCTAACTTTTCATGGGATCTTAAATACAAGTTTGTCCCCAGATATTATTATTTTTTTCAGCTCTCCCTCAGGTCACATAGTCACTAATCCATTCAGGTCAGCCCTGTACAATACTGTGAAGAAGCAACTGTTTTTAGATTCTCTGGGCTCTTTGTCCTCTTTCCCTAGTATATCCCTTCCTAGCCCTCTCATTCTACACCCTTTATGCATGCAGATTCACTTGCATTTAATTGCAATTACAATTTTTTCTTTTTCTTTGGTACAGCAAAATTAATGAAGGAAGAGAGAATCCTTAGGCTATTTTGTGTGTTCCTGTAGTCTCTGCCCCATTGTCTGGAAAACCACAGACTTCATTTTGATGCCAATGAATCCATCATCAGGCTTTATTTAAGCCGTGTATTTACCAAGATCCTCACTTGAGCAGTGGCTTAACTTTGTAATCTTTGATTTATAATTTTACAGTTGCTGAGACAGACGGAAAACCCATCCGTTTGTAGGAGCATGGCCTTTTCCTGTATTGCTTCTTACCACTGACGCTGAGCTCCTTGAGCCCTGGCCCCTGGACACCATCGTCAGGAAGACTTCATGAATGTGCTGCCCACCCTCTGAGAGAAGAGGAACATCAACTACAGTTTCTCACTAAATTGCCTTCTTCATTTCAAGTAATGGCTGTCATCAGGGTCAGATTAAAGATGAACCAGCTGGACAACTACTTGGAAGACTGACCTCTAAGGGCAATGAAATGTCAATACTGTGCTAACACAGCCATGAAAATACAAGGAGAGGAAAATGTATTTATCAGCCCTTTTCTCAGGGAGAATTCTGTGTGGGGTTAGAAGGAATAGTTTGATAAATATTCCTTAGGGGTGTTGAGTAGAGAGGAATTAGGATATAAAGAAGTGTGAGACTGTCCTGTTTTTCCTACAAGGATATATAAGTTAGGTGCTCCAGCTGGATTGTTTATGACCATGGAGGGTAGGCTGAGTACTGCAATGGTCCTCCTGCTCTGTTCTTCCCCATGCAGAGCTCAGCCTTTCCTCTAGTAGAAATTGAACAAGTAGTAGTTTGAAGGAGACACCAATTCATTAGCCTATGTGTCTCTTCTCTGTGTTTCCAGACTTGACAATGAAAACATTGGCATAGACTATGTATTTCCCAGTTCTAGTATATGAGCCCTTAGAGTGCCTTTGTTCACTTGGAGGTGAGGGTCATTGCTAACATTGTTGTTCAAGTCAAATGGAACTTGAACTCTTTGCCTATGGGGCATATGATCAGACCCTGTGTTGTATTAATTAGATCAATAGACATACCAGATGGGGCTGGGACATTAAAAGATATTTGACTGAAGGTTGATATTGCTGGTTATTTGTAGATAAGGACATTATGGAACATGCTTGTAATCATGAAATATAGAACTGGTGGATACATTTAATAACTCAACAAATAGTTAAGTACCTACTGTACACTATTGAGACTTAGGAGCAAGATACACATGGTTCCTACCCCCATGGAGCTTACACTCTAGCTTCTCCTTAGGTATGAAGAACAGTGACTACAACAAATGAGTGGCCGCAAAGATATCCTTGAGCCCAGGTTACCAATTAATAGGGTAATTCCTATTGCCTTAATCATACCTAGTGACCATGCTCTTAATCCTGCATTCCATAAATGCTCTATGAACATGAGCTTTTTCCCTCTAGCACATTGTGCAAATGTCCTACAGTGCCAGGGGAAGGGGTTAGGGTTAGTAGGGCTTCTGGGGGGAAAGCAGGAAGTGATTTGGGTCAGGATATAGGAAGGGACAGGATTCAGGGACCAGCTATTGCTTCTGTTCTGTGTAGGAAACTGAGGCATGAAAAATGCTGGGCTGGAAACTTTGAGACCTGGATTTTAGTCTTTATTCTGACAAACCCTGTGACTGAGGGCAACTCACTTCATGCTCCACTTGGATGCCTCTTAAGTGACTCCAGACCCCTTCCAGCTCTAAAAATGTTAAGGCCAGACTGCAGGCTATAGCTGGCCAGTTTCTAACTCTCCTGTTCCTAAGCCATTAGGTCAAATAGATCTTTAATAGTTGTTTGACTGTTATTTTTTTGGAGGAGGTATCTCATCAGCCTTCTAGGATACAATGAGTTTGCTCCTCCCCTTTGAAGTTAAGAAGGTTCTAGCAACATACTCTGTAGAGTGCATAGGGGCTTTACTCCCTCCTTCATCCCTTCTTCTTTCCCTGCCTTTCCCCCTCTCCTTTCCTTCCTCACATTTCTGTTGAGCATATGCCATGTGCCATGTACTGGGTGTGTGCTAAGTTTGAAGATATAAGGCCAACCTGAAACTTTCCCAGACTCCAGATTTATAGGAGAGGGAAACAAATCTCTCCTTCCATTTGTCTGCCAGCTTTTCCTTTGGAGAGAGTCAACCATGTGCCGGGAGAGTGTGCCGGTGGTACTCTCAGGGTAACCAATTACAGGCAGATGCCCCATTCTGTTCAAGCAACTTTGGAGTGCCCTGAGATACACATCAGATAGTCATTTAGGCCCAGAGTCACTGTGAAAGAGCTATCTCCAGATATAAGAAAGAAACAATCTTTTACATCTAGGGATAAATCTGTAGAGGGACAGTCCTTCATACAGTGAAGGTCTTTGAATGCTCCACCCACTGCAACCTATCCCTGCCCAGGTAAGGAGAATATAGGCAACTACATCCTAAACTTAAAAAACACCTGCCAATAAATAGACATTTTTCATATGTATTGTGCTTCACATATTCCCTGTGGCTGTTGACCTTTTCAAAAAAGAAAGGAAAAACATTAATCAAACAAAAAGATGTTGCTATGAATTCTTGCTTCACTGTGAGCCCTATACAAGCAACTTCTCCTCATCTTTGTTTCTCCCATCATTATCAAATCTATTTGATACATATCTCTGAGTGCAGAAAATATTCATGGAAAAACAAGTCTAGGAAATTTTAAATTCAGAATTGCTAGTACTATTTGGTTTGAGAATTTTATCCTGGGAAATAATTTTAAGGACTTCAATTTCTGGCTAAAATGATGGAATTAATTACTCTTGACTCTCAATTTTACTTCCCAGTTGAGGTCAAAGAACAGACAGACACCTCCAGTTAATGTCTATATCTCTCCATGGCCATAAGCTTCAATTTTCTCACTCGTATTCATTTCTTGTAATGTACATCATTACTAAATGGATTGATCAGTGTCTCATCTCCTCTCTTTGTTTTTATTTTTCCTCGAGTGAATATAGTAAAAATAGTGTAAGGTTCATAAGACAGAATGGCTGGCAGGACTTAGAAGAGAAACAAAGGGCATGGGTAACTCACATAAATAGAAAATCAGTCTTGGAATGATTGACAACACATTCAAATATTTTAATGCAGTGTTACTCCCATTAAGCAGAATTAGTAAATCTATATGACTCTAACTAAGTGTTCTAATGAAAAGGGGAGCACACTATCAATTATCTAACATTTCCAAATGTCTGGATATTGGCCATTGTGAAGGCAAGACAGACAGATAACGGACTCATCTTTCGCCTTCTCATTTGCAATGGTCTGGAGTCTTGTAGCTCTAGACATTGACTCTAGGCAATTTGCATTTGTTCTCACTCTCCCTTTTGAAAGAAAACAAAAATCTTATTTTTCCAACCAATTAAAACTCTTCTGCTTCAGCTAGGATGAAAGAATTAGTTCTGTCTCCTTGTATATAATTGCATGTTTCATCTTTCTTGTTTTAATGATTGACAGAAAACTGATAAACTGAGACATCTCTGAATCAGAGTTGAATGTACTCTTTTGGTGGCCCCATTGCTAATTTGTTTGACTATTTTGCAGGATTTCTTACTCTGTAATGAAAAGGTTTATTAAATTTATGAGGGGTGCAAAGCTTTCTGAATACTAATGAACCTATTTTCCAAAATTTAAATGTTCTTTTTGTCAGTGAATGCCTGTCTCAACCTAACCAGGATCCAAATTGAATAATGAAGAAAATTAGAATCTATTGTACCCTCAAGAGAAATTGTATGTGAATTGTAATAGAATATGGAAGGGGAAAGGGGTCACATTTTAGGAAAAAGAATAGATAATTTAGATTATTTTAAAAAAGGATTAACCCAGGAAAACTCAATTCTTTTCAAAGAAACATACTCAGTCATTCCAGGAGCAGAATTTTCCACTGCACAAGCAACCTGTACCTTTGGTTAGTTTAGAATGAGAGTAAAGTCATTATCATATGGAAATTCATGCTAGGTTTCAGTGGTTACAATTTACTAACCTTATTCTGAGACAAGGCTGTTACATGCCTGTGATGAAATGGGAAAATCAATAAGCTTGAAAAATGAACACTGTTCTGCGGAGAAGTTCAATAGGGAGATAGAGTGTGGGAAATTGCCCCAGTTCTTCCTTTGAGCATAATGTAATGAGGCTGTCCTTGGTCAATAGGTTTACTTCCATTGGCCTGATGTTATCACTAATAAAGTTGATGATTGCAATGCCTTTCCCTTTCCAGCACCTGAGGGGCACTGTGGGAACCTGGCTATCCATCTGGTTGATCAGGGAGACAGTCTGGGAGAACGTCAACAACCCCACAAACTGCCGAACATGATCAGGGACAGAAATGTGTGCATATGCAGTAAACTAAAGCAGTGGATGGGAAGTGAGGGAGAATGTAAAGATGAGACTGTGCAAGTCTGGGAATTTGTCCCTGCCATAAACATGAAAGAGAAAGGAAAGTATCGACTGGAAAAGGATGAGGTGAGGAAAGATCTTGAAGTAGAGGGAAAAAAGGGAAGAGGGAATGTCTCTAGTGTTTGTTAAAGTTAATTCTCCTGAGATTTCAGGAGGAAGAAAAGAAGATCAAGACAGAGAGAAACAGGTTTCAAACCAATGAAAGTTTAAAAACATAACAAAACAGAAACAAAAAAAATTAAAAACTAAAATTATACTCTTCTAGGGAAAGAGACTGGACAACAGGATTTGTATTTAGGGGTTTACTTTAGATCCTTAAGAGGAAAAGTTTATACGACATAGTTTCACAACATATTAATGTGTCTTTTGGCCATGATACCAGGCTTCCTTTTCAAGGAGAAAAAGAATGATCAACACATCTTCAGCTGTGCAATATTTCATTTGAGAATGCATTTCCTTCTATTATCCTGATTAAATTAAAAAAAAGACCTAGTGTATTTGATTGCTTCTGTGAGAAGGCTTGAGAGTTATAAGCGTAGATTTCTCCATTGTAATAATAATTGGGATTTAAAAATTAGGTAAATAAATGGGAGGAGATTAAGATTCATCTCCACCATGTTTAATCATGGTCTGTACCTTTAGAAACAAAGAGGAACTTGGAAAGTAGGAAGGCCAGGGAAAAGAGATGACTGAAGGGTGGGCGGGCAAGGAAAGGGGAAAAGAAACCAAACAATGTGTGGGAAAATTAAATGAAAAGCAAAGTTCAGAGGATAAGTAGGTCGTGAGGAATATGAGACTAAGATATTTAAAAATAGGAAATTACTCGGGAAAGTGAGGATGAATGATGAATTACACAGGAGATGATTAAGGGACTAGGGCAGGCAGGGAAGGGATGAGAGCACTGAGAAGGGAAACAAAACATGACTAATGGCTGTAAAAGGACAAGCTTGAATACTCCACAGCGTATTCCCCAACCTTTGGAGAATATGCACAACCTGGAAATAAAGGAGGAAAAGCTGAAAAGAGTTCATGGTTAACACAAAATTGTGAGAACAATAGAGAAAGCAATAAGTGTTATTAGTCCTCAGGAATGAAAGCATTTCTAGAGAGATGTATTAGTCTATTTCTCCATTCATTTATGAGTGGAATCGCCTTCATCTACCTTTTACAGAAGGTTGATTTGTAAAACAAATGCTAATACAGGGAAGAAAAGCTAAGCATTATCAGGGGAAGTTGAAGAAAAGATTGCATCTAGAACAACTGAAGTGGGAGTGAATGAGCAAACCTGTTCATAGCCTTTTAAATACGATTTTGAAATTCGGCATCTTAATGAAAGAACTGGAGATAATTTATCGAAGTAGAAATGTGGATAGTGATGATGGGGGAAGTTTTAACTGTTGTAAGTATTTTTGTTTGTTTGTTTTTTCTACATAATTTTTTTTTATTGGAACATAGTTGATTGTACATATCTGTGAGGTACAGCATTGAATCGCAATACCTGTGTGCAATAGGTGATGTTCATATCAGGATAAATAGTAATATTTTAGAATACGTTCTTCTCCAACATTTTCCCCATAAAAATGCATGAGATTAAGTTAAAAAGCTTCTGGGTATTATTTTAAACACTTAGGATGAGATGACTTATAGCA